TTCCTTTGAAAGTTAATATTAAAAATTTCTAGGAGCTTTGCAAAACTAAGAGCTTGTGTAAAAATCTGCAGGCGAGACTTCTCTTCGACATGTGACATTTTTCAATTTTTAACGCAACCCAAACTGAGATTTTCCTTCCATCCCCCAATCCCAACCCTGGATCCTTACAGGAAATATTTATGCATTCTAGTTTCCGATGCATAAAATTAAAATAGCTTTTTTAGTTGGTTGTAAATGATAGCAAATGCAGTTAAACGGCCAGACAATCAGCTTGAAGTGTTCCCATTATTCTTGCGTTTTGCATGATGAATGTAGCCTAGCTATTACAGTATTAGAGAATGAGAATATTTTAAAGAACCATCATTCAAGAGAACAGCCTACAGCCTATCTGGCAGTGAAATTAAGGGCTGTTAGTGTATACATTTTTTTTACCTCTTGGTTGCTCATCCAAGAATATCTAGGTAGCAGCAAATCTTCATGGAAGTGGTTTCTAGAAATCTCTTTTCTCTGTAAACTAGAATGATCTCATGTCATACCATTCATAGGCCCCCAACAGAAACCATTATGATGGAAGTAAATGATGCCAAAAATGTAATCAGAGCACAAACTCTGCATAATGTAAGAGCCCCATTTACAGTTCTGGACAAAAGTTTTGTTTCATTTCCATAATGAGTATAATTATTCATTCATACATACCTTCTTGGAATTAGCAAAGCATTCTCCTAATTTTCCTCCCACACTGTTCTAGGGTTTTATTTTGCCTGCAACAAAGTAAAGCAGTGAGAGATTACTGTTTGTACTGTTTGTGCAATTTATAAGGAAGGTCTTTAATTAAAATGGTTGTTATAGAAATGCAGTTAAATATGGGGTGTGTGTGTGTGTAAAAGAGTCATGAACACTGAAGCATAATACTGTAAAAGACTGTAAAATTCTCCTGGAATAATGTTGTACCAGATACATGTTAGTGGGTAAGCGGGGTGGGGGGAAGGTTTAGGGTTTCAGCATGGTTGGTGTAGGAAAATTGTGGCGTTTTGCAAGGTTTGAAAACAGACTGACCTTGGGGGGCCGCTAGGGGCGCCTTGGAAGATGGCCGACAATACCATCTACCCGGCTCGCGCGAGGTAATTAGAGGCTGATTATGGGGAGTAAATCAGTCTCCCTCGTCTTCCCAGGGGGTGGGAAGATGCTGCCTCACCCGCGGTTGCCCATAAATCACCCCCAAGTTCGAAAGAAGGAGGGGGTGGGGGCACTGGGCAGATAGTGCTCATGCGGGCTCTGGAGCTCCCGGACGCCGCTTTCAAGAGCGAAACTGGTTGCGTTATTTAAGAGAGAAAAAATTGGAGAAGTAAACGCACATGCTTCGAGCGAGGTCAGGAGTGTATTATCTGCTAAATAATTCTACCACTGAGACGATGAATGATGGGACGGGAGGAACAGAGGACAGCATCAAAGAACCACAGACATGTCGGTATGTTGAAGGGAACGGAAAGGAGGGGGACTTTCTTCTTTTTCAATATGATTACCTAACAACCCTCCCCCTTAGAAGAACCCTCACAACGACTGATTGAAAGTGAGAATGAAAAATAAACTGGGGGGGGGGAGAAATATTAATAAAAGGTTTTACTCCGTGAAAGATCTGGAAAGAAGAGAGGCTTTCTTTGTGGCGCAGTTACAAAAGCGATCCGCCATTAAGAGGCAGACCTCGTTGTAAGATTTGTAGTCTTAGGGAGGGTGAGCCACTGTTTTGGTATCAGCTGTGGATCGTAAATTCAAAGGGCAATAAACCTCCTGGAAAGGCTGGTTTATGATACAACAGGTCTGAGAAAATTAACGAGCGGACATTTAGACTGTATTTCATCGGAACTGAATAAGATGGCGACGGCTGCTCGAATGGGACTTCTGGACTATTGGATCTATGTGAGATGAACTACGGGAGAGCATTACAAAGTTCACACAGAAATATAAACAAGACTGTTTCTTTCAACTTACTTGTGGAGACAACTCGGAGGTGACTGAGAAGAAAAAGGGTAACGACAAGGAGATGAGTAGATGGGATTGTGAACATCAAAGCAGCAGAAATTTAAGATGATTGGACTCCTACCGATCTCGAAGCATGGGTACCCTCCACAAAATTTATAATTTGGCAAAATATTTGGATTTTATTATTTGTATTGGTATAATTTGGAATAAGTAATATGATATGATTGGTTTGGTAAATGGAAATTTAATAAAAATTATTTTAAAAAGAAAAGAAAACAGACTGACCTTAAACATGTGAAAAACTGAAATATAAAGTGATCTGTGTCTACTGAAGCTGGAACAATCCGATTAATGCAAGGCCCAGGTTCTACTTCTCCTTGTTAATGTAAGACAACTCCATTTTCGATATTGGTAACCTAGGAAGGTTTCTTCCCTGTGTATGTTTAGGAGGTGTAATGTTAGTTTGGGGCAGGGGGAGATGTATTACTTTGTTTATATTCTACATGGCTGTCAGCATGTTTGTTACTGAAACAGTTCCAAAACAAATAGGTTTTTTTTTATAAAAAGAACTTTTCGTTGTTCCCTGTATAGCTTGTTGTCAGGGAACTGCCATCAGTGCCGGAGGGAGAGAGCAAAATCCAGAGGGATTCCAGAGAGTGTCCCGGGATTGGGAGAGGCAGCCCATCTTCTGGGGAAGAGAATCAGCGTAGCACCAGTGGAGAAGGGGGGCAGATGGGGGAAGCAGCGAGGCTGTCCCATGGCTCCTTGCCGGGGACCAGCGGGGAGAGTAGAGGTCCTCCGCTGCCTACGCCCTCCTTGCGCAGAAGGCTTTCGCGCAGAGAGAGTAGGAGGAGACTAGGCGTCAAAGAGCTTCTTTGCTGGAAGAAGTTTAAGAAACGCCCACTGACGGATTCTGCCAGCGATTGAGACAGCCACGGGTGAGTGGCTGTCCGGACAGAAAAGGTTCACTCAGGCACCCCAGCCAGGTGTTTGCACCGGCTTACGCACGAGCAACCCCTAGAACCACTACACTTGTTATGGTTTGCATCCACTGTTTTGTCATGTCTAAACTACAGCCCTGTCAAAATGAGAGCTCAATAATTTCTTTTCCCTGTGGGCAAACTTGTGGAGCAGCTAGAAGCTAGTAGGAATGCTGCGACTGGAAAAAAAAACTAGTCAGAATGTTCATCTGTGAACTAATAAGTGAAAAGTAAAAATAGTCTATAATATGAGCATTTGAAGGAAGACAGGGGGGCATTACAAGCAGCATACATCTGGCAACAAAAAAGGGTTTCAGAATTGCATAACCCCCCCCCCAACATTTCTCAGATGGGATGCCCCATTCCATAACGATAATTTTACTATTCATACCCCACATATCTTACTGGGTCGCCACAGCCACTCTGGGCAGCTTCCAACATATCTAAAAACATAATAAAACATTAAACATTTTTTTTTTAAAAAAAAAACCCTCCCTTATACAGGATTGCCTTCAGACAGCTAGGCGGTTGGATAACTCCATACCCTCCAACAGTTCTCCAATGAAAATAGGGACATCCTAAGGAAAAGTGGGACATTCCAGGACCAAAACAGAAACCGGGACAGCTTCTCTAAATGACCCTGCTTTGTCATAGTAGTGCCACTTGGTCAGTTCCATGGGAAGGAGAATTGGTTGTTAAACCACTTTGGGAACTATAGTTCAAGGGGAATAGGTGTCTAATAGGGTGGCACTGTGGTCTTAACCACAGAGCCTAGGGCTTGCCAGTCAGAAGGTTGGCGGTTCGAATCCCTGCAACAGGGTGAGCTCCCGTTGTTTGGTCCCAGTTCCTGCCCACCTAGCAGTTCGAAAGCACATCAAAGTGCAAGTAGATAAATAGGTACCGCTCCGGCAGGAAGGTAAATGGCATTTCCGTACTCTGCTCTGGTTCGCCAGAAGCAGCTTAGTCATGCTGGCCACATGACCTGGAAGCTGTCTGTGGACAAACGCTGGCTCCCTCGGCCTATAGAGCGAGATGAGCGTGCAACCCCAGAGTCATCCACCACTAGACCTAACGGTCACGGGTACCTTTACCTTTTCCTTTAACAACTCTCAGGACTCGTAACAAACTACGCATCCTAGGCTTCTTTAGGGGAAGCCATGACTGTTTAAAGTGGTATGATACAGCTTTTACATGTATAGTTGATATGGGATCTAAGAGAGTTGCTAGCAATGAGCTACCAGCTCCCACATGCTCGATGGCCCACATAAATTCAGATGTGGAAACAATGTTCATGCCTGTGCACCATGTACTGAATGACATGACCATCAGACTCATGTCATTCACAGGCGGTGGAGAGAAATGAAACATATCCATTATCCTAAACACCCAAATTTAAAAACGTAAGTTCTTTAAAATAGCACTTTTGTATTGTATGTTGAAAATAAAAGCTACACTGAGTTTTGAGAAGTAGACTACCATGAAGAAAATAGAAATATGCTATAAAACAAGGCCATTTGTGATGAGATAGGCATATTAATACCCATGTTATAGGGTAACTTTTTGAGACATACCCTGTTCCTGTGATCGCATTCTCCTTAAATTGAGATATTTTCACACTAGTTAGCTGACATTGTATAAAGGAGCGTTAGGGTTGTTTTTGTTGGCATTCCTGCTAGTGGGGCTGAGAAGTTTAGATGAACAAGATATATGCTTCCTCTTCCAATGTATGGAATGAACTACAAATTACAGAATAATTTTAACACACACAGAAGCCAGACTTTTCCATGTACCTAGAATTTTGCTAGCAGCAGGTGCAATGAAAGAGGAGCATACGTATGATAAAGCCTGAAACAAGAATTATAGTTTGCAGAACTCTTAACTGAATAGTAATATTAAGGGATATCTAGTTTTCTAGCTGTTAAACCCATTGTATTTTATCTTATACCTGTGTTTTTTAGATATAAGAAGAAGAATTTTATTATTTATATGCCGCATGAATGTATTAATATTCATTTTTTTTTAATTCAAGAGATTGGTTTAATGCAGAACACACCTCTCTCTCTCTCTCTCTCTCTCTTTTATATATATACACACACACACACACAGAGAGAGAGAGAGAGAGAGAGAGAGAGAGAACCTTCAGTTTACTCATTTCATGTGTAATACATTGAATTGCCCAGATTCCCTTTGAAAGAAAAAAAGGAAAATTACTGTCCACTTGAGCACTTTTCAAATCTTATTGAAAGATTTTCTCCCCACCCCCAAAAAAAGTTGCTGTTTTTATTTGTTGGTGTTAAAAGCTCATGGATCAAGATACTTGCCACTAGAGGCCACTACAACCTCAGCCCACTCCACTCTAAAGCACTTCAAGGTTCCTGCCTGTTCTGGTGGAGGAGCTGTTGACTTAAACAAGGTGTGTTCTGTTGGTGTGCCAAATGAAATGCAAACTCCAGACTGATCACGTTTTTATCATCAGAGGACTGCATGTAGAGGAAATAGGAGGTACTGCAGTGGGTAGGACAGTATTTTCAAACTACATGAAATAAGATCATCTTGGAAACATACCTCTTGCAGCCATCTCGCCACTGTGGTTAATCTGGTGTAGCAATAACTATGTTTTTTAAACAGACCAAAAACCTGTTAAATGGAGGGGGGAAATGACTGCTTCTGGCCAAGGAAGGTCATTATGAGAACAGTTGTCTCAATTATAAACTGATACCATTCTTGACTATTTATATTAGGCATTAACTTCTTTCACTGTAGGATCTGTGTTTATTTTCAAGTTTCAGTCTCAGAAAGGGGATCTAAGCTTTCCAGTTTCCATATAATTTAGCAACTCTGAAAATACCTTATTCTTAGCCTTTGTGCTCATTTCTCACATCCTACTTTCAAGGGCTCCTGTACTTGGGGAGCATGTGTAAAAGATAGAAGGCAAGAGCAATTGTTGTTGTTGTTGTTTAGTCATTTAGTCGTGTCCGACTCTTCATGACCCCATGGACCAGAGCACACCAGGCCCTTCTGTCTTCCACTGCCTCCCGCAGTTTGGTCAGACTCATGATTGTAGCTTCGAGAACACTGTCCAACCATCTCGTCCTCTGTCGTCCCCTTCTCCTTGTGCCCTCCATCTTTCCCAACATCCGGGTCTTTTCCAGGTAGTCTTCTCTTCTCATGAGGTGGCCAAAGTACTGGAGCCTCAGCTTCAGGATCTGTCCTTCCAGTGAGGACTCAGGGCTGATTTCCTTAAGAATGGATAGGTTTGATCTTCTTGCAGTCCATGGGACTCTCAAGAGTCTCCTCCAGCACCATAATTCAAAAGCATCAATTCTCCGGCGATCACCTTTCTTTATGGTCCAGCTCTCACTTCCATACATCACTACTGGGAATACCATAGCTTTAACTATACGGACCTTTGTCGGCAAGGTGATGTCTCTGCTTCTTAAGATGCTGTCTAGGTTTGTCATCGCCTTTTTCCCAAGAAGCAGGCGTCTTTTTAAAGACCATTATACCAGGCTTTAAAATTATTTGATGCTCATGCAGGAGAGTCTGTGTGTTTTGGGAATGATAGTTGTAATATGGAAACTGTTCCCTTCTCTCCCGCAAAAAAGGAGGCACATGGCTATCTCATTTCCTAGTGGTTGGTGATAAGAGCCAGCTCCCACTTCACAATGACCTTGGGAGCATGTGGGTTATCATTGGGCTTGCAGCAGGCTATGTTTACATGGCATCATTTGTGTGCATCAATATGCCTACAGTAGCCTCCAACGTGGCAGCAGTTGCTGTGGTCCTGTATACAATATCCAGATGAGCACCGGTTCATACGAAGAGCACATGGATGGATGGGCGGATGCCAAGTTCTTGTTTGAAAAATGGTGGTGTGTTGGAGGCAGTGGCATAGCATGGGGAGGGCCACAGGGTGGTTGCCCCGGGGACAGAATTGTTTGGGTCACAAAATTTCAACATCCAGTGCTGCCTCAATACAGCTGTGCGCTTCTGTCACTGGAAACTGGAAACTGCTTCTCCATGTGAACCAGAAAGTGACCTCTCCAGGCAATGGAACGACTCTCCTTTTCTTGTCTCTGCAGCTGCATTCTCCTGGGTGACTCAGACGCCATTTGGCAGTTAAATGTGCATGTGTGTACTCTGTCCGTTTCCCTCCCACCCACTCCCTCCGCATGGCCCCGGGCACTGGCAACCCACGCTTCGCCACTGGTGGGAGGGATTAGATGACAGACTCGGAGACCGGGCAAGAGTGAAGCCCGTGTACTCAAATGCAGTTGCTTCCTTCGCCAATAAGGTGTGATTGTGTGTGTTTGTGCGGATATTTGTTTTTCTTAAAATTATTTCTAAGGGGTGTCTCAGATAAAAATAGAGGTTGATAATCCAGCTACCCATGCTTAGAAATGTCAACACTAAAGCAACTCTAGCAAAGGAAAATGAAGAAAGTTTGCCTGGGTTTGGTGTATCTACTTTTTCACGCAGTTTGGCTTAAGAAAATGATAGTAGAAAACTTAGTCCAAGAGGCCCATTTAGCAGCACTGATATATTCCAACTAGTTTCTAAGGTGCAAACAGCCATTTTGGCAGGCAGCAAATGTTTCTAATGTTTAATTACCGCTCTCCCCACCCCACCCTGCATCCCTTTTTTAGTTATTTGTTCTACAAAATCTTGATACCTGTTCAAATTGTAGAAGGAAACCAGTCAGGCATTCACTGTCCTTTGAGAGTCCTCAACTATTTCATCATTGAACAGGAGTCCACAAGCAGTAGGTGTGGGATAATATAAAATCTTTTTGAAATGTTCTGGCAGCAGATCATATGGGAAGGGCGTGTTGAAACTAAAATATGTTTGGACTCTATCCCCGATTGTAGAAGCATAAAGAGAGCCTTGGACAGTTGACTTGTTTCTTCCAAACAGAGAGAGTGTTTAATTTGTTTCTTCTTGGTTTACTTTGCCCTAAAGGGAACAGCTGTAAATTGTAAAAATAAAATTTCTGCTGCAATGATTTTAGTACTTGAAAGTGTTGCCAGAGTCATAAACAATGACATTTGTAAGCTGGTTTTTTTTGTTGTTGTTGTTTTGCTTCTTTTAAAAAAACAATTGACTGAAACTTGAAAACTACTGCAGTTTTCTAGCAGGGCTAAACTTTGGGCCTAACTGCTTGTTGATATCTACAGGCCTGAAACCATGTTTGTTAAACTTAATCATACGATACAGGCAATATCAACATCCAGCTGTGCTAAGCAAAGAAAATTGTTTGTTTGGTCAAGCTTTTCAGCAGCTCTACAAGGAGAAGTTCAGTGAGTTTACAAGCTGTATGATTATCTATATTTATATGTAACGAGTGGAGCCTCTAACAAAATGTTATAGGATAGGATGGTTCAACTCATGGCTGGCTGGAACCATTCTGTTGCCCCTTTGCCCTGGATTTCTGGATTCTTCACACACACACCCCTTCTCCATTCTATAATTCTCACCTTTTCCTGGCCACTACAGAGCTGAGTCCTCATTCCTCAAGTTATTTTGGGAGGTCCCCTTTGAAGATTTCCCTTCCCCCTAAAGTTTTTGTTTCATAAACCTTCTATAAATTCCTCCTTATTTGAGGACTGTGCTGTTTGGCCTCTATAAGGACTCAAAATCAGAAAAGTGAAATAGCTGTGAGTACATATGATCTGCAGTCCATAGTCATGGTCTTCCTTTTTCTCCTTCGGTTCATGGATTTTGTGGGAAGAAGTGGAATTCTTTTACAGTGCTACCTCGGGTTAAGAACTTAATTTGTTCTGGAGGTCTGTTCTTAACCTGAGGTACCACTTTAGCTAATGGGGCCTCCTGCTGCCGCGCGATTTCTGTTCTCATCCTGAAGCAAAGTTCTTAACCTGAGGTACTATTTCTGGGTTAGCGGAGTCTGTAACCTGAAGTGTCTGTAACCCGAGGTACAGTGTCTGTAACCCAAGCCAGTGTGGTGTAGTGGTTAAGAGCGATAGACTCATAATCTGGGGAACCGGGTTCACGTCTCGGCTCCTCCACATGCAGCTGCTGGGTGACCTTGGGCCAGTCACACTTCTTTGAAGTCTCTCAGCCCCACTCACCTCACAGAGTGTTTCTTGTGGGGGAGGAAGGGAAAGGAGAATGTTAGCTGCTTTGAGACTCCTTCGGGTAGTGATAAAGCCGGATATCAAATTCAAACTCTTCTTCTTAGCATGTTTGTAGCCTTTGAGCTGCAAATTTGGGTATGACAGGGTAGGGGCAGTGGCAAAGCTTCATGCTCCAGCACCGGGGGGGCAGAGAGCAGGCGGGGGCGGGGCTGACGTGCATCCCAGGGGCGGGGCGCACTGCCCGCAGGGGCGTTGTGTGCATCCTGGGGGCAGGGCATGCCGCCTGCAGGGGCGTGGTGCCCAGTGTGGGTGGGGGGGCAGCCGCAATGGCCCCTCACTGGGATCACACTGCCAAGGACAGTGCACTCCCCCTGCACTCCTCTTCCTCCGCCAGTGGGTAGGGGGCAGTTCTTAGTGATATCACAGAAGCCCAGAATGGGTGTGGGTGGGTGTGTTATGCATGCACACTAAGAGGCATCCTATAGGTCAGGAGCAGGGCTTAGGTGCCTTGATTACCAATACACATAACTAGCAAAAATATTGTACAATTTTCCTGAATAAAATCCATAACCAATTTGCTTAAGGTGCATTTTTCTCTTGTGGATTTCAAGGCTGCATTGTTAATTACTAAATAGCACAGTATTAAAGCATTAGTTCTCTGTTAATCTATGTATGCGAGGTGGGAATTTTGCATAAATGTCTGTACAGGAGTCAGCCACAGCACAGACCACAGATATATGGTAGTCCAGCCTCATTTCGGTTACTGAGAACAGTCCAAAGCATAACTCCACATCAAGTGTTTAAAATGCATGCAGTTTTCTCAAACTATAGAGGCAGTGCTTGACTCATAACTCCCTTTTAGATCTGACCAACTTTTCTCTAAATCTTGACCTAGGCAGATTTATGTGATTTGTTGGTGCTACTTCATGAACCTTTTCTTCTGTGCAAAGCTTTTTCTTGATTTCTCAGAAAAGTAAAGAGCAAGATCAAAGGGGGGGGATTTCCCTGAAATTCAAATGCTTGTATCTGTGTTGCTCTGAAAAAGTAAAAA